AATAGCGATCTCCAGCACATGAAAACGTTATTTATTTATTTATTTATTTATTTATTTTTTTAATACAGCATTGTTTATTACACTTACACATGTACTTACACTATAATTACTTTTTACACCATGTTTAAACTACATTAACTTACACTACTTACAATACATATATAACAATACAGTTACAAAAATAAAGAGCTCATGAAGTTCAGTTCTAAATGATAACAAAACATTTACCATTTTGAAAGAAATACGATAAATGAAATGTTATTTAGCCTCGTGAAAGATTTGAACTCTCGACCCCTGGTTTACGAGACCAGTGCTCTAACCTCTGAGCTAACGAGGCCATCTACAACAATATAGTTACAAAAACAAAAATCATATGAGAGATCGACTGATTGGAAATATGCTTGAATGTAAGTGTTCCCAAATAAATTCTGTTCACAGAATGTACAGATAAAATTGAACACTGCTCCGCTCTCGCCAAGTCTGGAGTCTGCAAGACATCACCAAAGGCCATGCATCAACATTGTGCAAAAACCTGTAACTTATGTGGTAGGTCATGAATTAACGATTGAAACTGAAAAGCTAAACTAATTTTGAGCCATGATACCTTTACTAAATTGACCACTACATAACGTGAATTATTTCAAACGACAAATTTATCCACTATTTCTAAGTAATATGTGGATATAAATCTATTGAAAGTGTAAACTTTGTGTGAAAGCTTGTGAGAGTGAGGAATTCGTGGCCCCATTTGATAGTTTGAATCAGTTATATAGGCCAGATATCAATGGTTAACTTATGGCTATCTCTGTTTTTAAGAGGACAATTTCTTTGATGCCACACCCCACATCAGCGTGGCCCTCAAGAAAGATCCTGAGAAATTCTTAAAGAAACAACCAATTGCCCTGGCCCAAAAAAAGACTTATCACATTCCTTTGAAGGACAAAGTAGTGCCAGAGAAACCAAAAACTGAGCAGTCTTCAAGGAAGCATGAATTAACTGGAGAGGGATTTATCCCAGCTGATACGATCAAAATCCTTCACTCTATAGAGCCACTTTTGTCACAGCAATCCAAAGGGGTTATGAAATTCCATGAAAATGACCTGAGCCCAGAAAACGAGAAGATCCGTGATGCACAGAAGCTACTGGAGTATGTAAAAGTTCTGAACCCGCCGAAGAAGATGGCCATCCTTGAAGCAAAGGTTTCCTTGGCCAACGATAAGAAAAAGTCTACCACTAAGAAACCCAAAAAGATCGTCGCACACGAAGATAAAGAAAAAGAAGAGGACAGTGAACAAAAAGACGAGGTGAAGAAAGAAAATAAATCAAAACCCAACCACGCCGCCAAATCAAAAGTTGCCAACAAAAAAAAGCTTAAAGTTAAGGGAACACCGCTGACAAGTTTATCAAAGACAGTGACTTACAAGAATCACAAATACAAGATCACGCCAGTCGTGGACTGGGAACGAATCTCTAAAATGCTGGAAAGTCTTGGCTACAAGGCTGTTCACATTGTGGGCGTGAAGGACAAAAGTATCCACAAGGATCTTACGGAACATCTTAAAAAGCACGGAGTTGACAATGTTTTGTCACATAAGATAAAAGGGAAGGCCGCTGCGGAAACGTTTGTGTCAGCGGTTCATCGGGAAAAATCTTGGCATAATGGTGAGTTATTTAATGAGCTATGAGATTGTTTATCCTTTGGTGTTTTTTTTTTTTTGCTATCTTGATGAACGCTGTGTAAATAAAGGGGACCTGCAGGTACTTTTAACACTGTTGGACTAACAAGTCGTTAGGTTATTAACGTAACGATAAAGTAATAAAATACCCTACGTAACATAATAATAAACAATAATTAATGTTATAAATAATAATAATTAATAATAATATCTGTAAAATTTAACCCCTTACTGGCTGTCGCTGTGTTCTCAAAAAGTGCGTTATTAGCGGTTATCATTCGGAATGTGAAGTGCAATCAGCAATCGATCAGTGTGGTTTCTTTGGGTATAAACCATAATCAAACCTAAACAAGAGCGCCGTTCATTTTGTAGATGAATATTTTAAGACTCACTGCCATCCAAAGTGCCTCACGAGCTGCGTTTCCTCTTGTATGCCGGGGTGTTGTCGCGAGCACGACAAGGTGTCAATCAAGACAGGTCTCGCTAAACATTGCCATGCATCCTGTTTGACGAACTGCCTGCCATCTTGTGGTAGCGGCTGCTGCTCGGCTGACGAAGAACGAAAGAGGGGACATCACTTTTTACATTACCAGAGGATAAAAGACTATCACAAGGCTAAGGATGAAGCGGCTGAAAAACAGCACGACCAACCCAAGAAAACTACTAAAAAGCAGGAAGACAAAGTGAATCCCAAATGCCATCCACAATGTAAAGAAACTTGTATATCTTCCTGTGGAAAAGGCTGTTGCACAGACGAAGGCGAAAGGATAAGGGACGAGAATGAGAGAAAGGAGAAAGATCAACAAGAAAAATATAGGAAGGACAAACAGAAGAAGCTGCAGGAAATGTACAAACCGCAGCCAAGACTCTGTCCGGCACCGTGCCCTCGGGTAAATGAGTTGAAATACTTTTTCCATGATACTGATTTTAAAAATTGAAACTAAGAGACTTTAAAAATTCTTCATTGTTTCCTGGTATAAAGGGAATGAATTAGTCCTGTATGAGATTTAATCTCGACCCCTGGTTTCAGAACCAGTCGTCTTTCCACTGATCTTTTAAGGCCACACCGCTGTGATAGTTTTGTTATGAACTTCAACATGGAGGTATAGTGATGATTAAAGCGTTCAACTTTCTCCAAAAAATTTTGTCCATTGAAAAGAAAGAAAAACGTCTGTCGAAAGAGGGTCCTTCTATAAAAAAAATAACAGACCGCCACTGAAATCTGTGATGTTTTATACAAAGACATCAAATTGTTTTGCAGTTGTTGTCGATGTTATTGCTGATGCGCTTGTTCAGTGGTCATATTAGCTATTGTTGTAGTTACTCTGCCTGATCCTCAACGCTGTTGTTGTTACTGCTCTTGGTGCTGATGGTGCACTTACCACTGTTTCTGCTGAGAAAGTCTTTATTTTATATCTTTTCTTCAATTTTTTATTTTTCACTCTCTCCCCTTAGGTCTGTGCTCCGGCTTGTGCTGACGACTGTTGTGCCTTCGGAAAATATGCGTCACCACCAGCACCAGGAATACCTGTAAGTGATCAACCCCACCCTGGTCTAACTCCGAACGTTCCATATCCCCACTCCAAAGTCATTCCGCTCGAGGCCTATGCTTGCAAAGAGACGTGCAAGTTCTCTTGCACTTACGACTGCCCCCGCGACTGCTGTCAACCGGAAGAGCTGGCCCAAGAAGTAGCTCACGAAGCTGCTGCTCTTGCACCTTCCGCTTTTTCATCTCCCGCCATAGGATCTCCGACCACAATAGGAGCACCACAAGCTATGGCTTATCAAGACCTTGCTCCCGAAATGGGGACATGCCCGAGTCCCTGTCCTGGTGGCTGCTACCCTTCATGCACAGTGGCTTGTTGTACGTCGGCTCTAGGTCTTCCCCAAGAAAATCAAGCAGAGTTGAGTCCAGAGGCACGTTCTTCCACTAAACGAGTGCTGCATATTACTCACCTGGTACGACCAATGACGAGTTTAAATGGTTGCGCACTTTCCTGTGCCACACACTGTACGCCAGCATGCGCAAGATCCGGCTGCTGCGATTCGTCGAAAAGAAAGAAAAGATCGAACTGAATGGTGCGAGACGTAAAAAAGAAAAAACAATGCTTTAGAATCCATTCATCTTAAACATTTCTGCAGTGTGAATTATCGGGATTGATAATGTTAATGTTATTCAGCGGAAATTCATCAATAAGATGCAGAACTATCAAAAGTAGCGCATCGTAATACCAAGGAGAGTGTATGAGAAAAGATAGCTTCTGCATTCTAATCATGCTCCCTCTAACCCTTTTTTCTTCTTTAAAAAGCCTGCTTTGAGGGTTTGGAACAAAAGAATAAGATTCAATTTAGATTTAAAAATGTAAATGTCGGTTGAGTACAAATTTAGAGCCATAAAATTGAAAGACCTTTGAATTGAGAAAACTTTACGCATTTTGGGTGTGTTTGCCGATATTTAAAGGCATTTAAATCTGTATGTCAAACGTATTCTATTCTTGTACATTACCGTCAACGGTTGCATCCATCGATACGATATTTCTTTAAAAAATAAACTCTTTATATCATGACAACTCTTTTTGACAACGTTCTCTTTGTTGATGCGATCTCTCTACTCCAATACCGTATGCTGGACTCGGAATGTTGAGTTTTAGTTCTATGTCCCTGCCGAGGAATTCAGCTTTGACTACTTAGGCGATACGCTATTCCCCCACAGTACTCCTCGCCACGAATGAAAGTAATGACTACACCGGTGCGTTGTCGTGGAAACCTGAGTGAAGTATGAAAAAACATTTCGCGCCTCAACCCCAATCAACCAATCAAGTTTATTGTCTTTACGTGAACCATGGTTACCCAATTACCCGAGCCAGAGGCTCGAGTATAAAACGTAAGATTAATTTAATTGATTAAATCATGTCTGGATGTGTTCATTTTGAATAAGGATGGTATTCAGTATTCTGTTTTGGCTGGTACTTATGTTGGTAAATAGAGTGATCTGATCGTTTGGTTGAGAGTAGCCTTGAAAAGGACAATTGTCGGTAGGTTTGACTGGCCTTTCGACAACCTGGGTGACATTCATCATCGGATTCAAGTAAGGATCAAATTTCACAGTTTTCTTGAATCCAGTCAATGGGTCTTGATAGATGAGTTGAATCATAGAATCCATGGTGGATGATAGAATCCCTTTTGGATGGTAGAATCTCTGTTGGATGATAAAATCCCTTTTGGATGATAGAATCCTTGTTGAATGATAGAATCCCTGATGGTATTGATAAAGCGCTTTTCGAAGGCTAATCGAATTATCACGAGAAGCCTATGAGAGCTCAAAGTAAACTCATCCCATCAGCCTCAACCGCGACAAAAGCCGCACGTGATCAAATCACCCATGGCCAAGTAATGCTTGGTTCAAAAGAAGGAATTGATTTTCAAACCAAAACAAAAGCAGTAAAAACTGGATTCTTTTGACCCTCAGTGCAAATTTACTAAACGCAAATTTTTTTAACTCGAGAGAAAATCAGGATTAGTAGTTTTTGCTTTGATTTTGGCTCCGTTTCCAGGCCCTTTTACACTTCTTAAGTTTTGTTTTGTTTTACAAATGTAGTTATGTCTAGTACACATTGATTACGACGAGCAATCTGGAAACTTTCGTAATTTTGATAAAGCGTTACCGGCATTAAACATTAAACAATATTTCCATAGTAAATATTGACAATTAACAGTTGACAGTTGACAGTTGACAGTTGACAGACAGAACGAAGTGGAGGACTACAGTGAAGGAAGGAACTGTTGTGCTCGAAAATAGCCTCAGGAACAACCAGATTGAGAAACGTCAGCGATGAAAGGAAAACAACAGCAATGCAGAACACGGCGGCATCTCCCTGGTATGCAAATACTGTAGCAGAAGCTGTGGTTCCAACATCGGAAGAGTCAGCCTTGTAAGAAGCTGCAAGCAAAGGACTTTATAGGGCTTATCAGGAAATTACCCTTTTAAGCTTAACAGACCGTCTGCATACAAGAAAAGTGTCATACATACATTTCCGCAGAATTCGGTAGCGTTCAAACGAAAACCAATTATGAGCAGTTTTGAAATGATCACTCTCAATGTTGTATCGTTGCTTGTAGTAAGGGGAAAGGTGAAGGTATTTTTCTTCGAAACACTTGAGAGAAGAATACTTAAAAGGCTATTCCATGATTACTCGCGGCCCGTCAGAAACCATCTTTATTCAAATCGTGAAAGTACTTCAGAACCAATTAACTGCTTGGTCGTCTGTCACCGAGATAGAAAATTCAATAATGTCGCACTCACCGACAGTCACATGTCCAGTGCATCCTAAGCTATAAAGGTCTCACATACTAGCGTACGCGCACAGACAGAAATTTTTCTGGTGAAGATAATCCTTCATGCTGCATTCAAGGGAAAAGAGTTTAATAAGCAAAACTGTATGTTACATATTCCTACCACTTTACCTTCAGAGGCGACGATGCTTGTTGAAAAAAGCTACGTATCAGTAATTGTAGCATAACAGGCCAGTGACTGTGGCGCTTATCTCGTAATCATGGTAGGTAACTATCTTTCTCAATTTAAGGTGGCTCGTACCGGTTTTCATCTTTTTGATGGTTTGTAACTTTGAAAGAATACAACAGAAAGACTAACGAAGGCCAGTTGAACACTTTTACGGGGTTGAATTATATAATAATTGGTTATGCAAAAATAGGTGTCATTTCGTCACTAGCAGTTTCCATGGCAACGCTTTCATAGGCGTATTAAGACGCATTTTTTAGCTTGTGGCTTAAATAATTCGAAAACTAACCCGGTGACCCCGTGATTTTTTTCAGTGATTGCTTTTGGCACTTGAAAAGGAAAATGCACAAAGATTTTTAAAAAATTCTACGGAGCGGAATTTCAGAAAATCTAGAAAAAAGGCAATTTTCACACATCGCAAATTTCCTTCCGTAGAATTTTCTA